ACATATAATAACAAAATTGTATATATTCTATCAAAATAACTGTTCTGGATTCTAAATAGTGACTGTTGCTTATGTGTTCTGCTTTTCCCTATGTAAAAGATCTCCGTAACCAATATAGCAAAAGTAAACAAATTTGATCTGTATTCAACCTCCAGGCTTTTTCACCTCTGCATTCTTTGAGGATGACATGACAGTGAAATAGAAAACATTGTTACAATTCTGGGGACTATCACTAAAGGTGGTGAATGAAGATATTAAAAAAAAAAAAAAATAATTAAAAAATGGCATTAAGTAATGAACACCTACTTTCAATTTACTGAGGCAGAAGACAAGGATTAAAACCTCCCTTTGATATTAAAGGAGTTAAAGTTCTTGAAGTTCTTGTTAAATTTCAAGATTATCGGGGGAAAAAACAGCAAAAAAAAAAAAAAAAAGTATACTGAGTACAGCTTATGTTTCTTAGCTGCTATACCAGCCAATATTCATACAATTCTTAGTGAAGTAGGTTTTATGGCTACTTTCTTATGCATACTAACACAAAGACATATTGACAAGCCCTCTCAGTGGTTTCTACTATTTATAAGATTAAAAATGGAGAAAAACAGTCAATATTTTATCCATGTTTCTTAGTTCATTGTTTTGTTCTGAACATCTGATAAAAAATTGGTGATGTAGGGGTTTTCTTTTTGTTGTTGTTCTTTTTTTACTAACTTATAAGTAGTCATATTAAGAACTAAATAGATAAGAGAAAAAAACAATGCAACTTCTTCATTTCCAAAGATTTGGTAATATTTGGGAATTATCAGTAGGCGTAATGTATGAAGAGGATTTTGGAGATTAATATGTTTTCACTAGATTCATTCATCTGTTCTAATTCAAAATCTAGCAAGATTGTATTTAAGATGTCAAATTCTGCTCTCCTGTGTACTGTCATGTAAGGAAAGTTGCTTATATAAAATAGACTATGATACAGTGAAGATTCCTGGATGGCATACCAAAACAGTTTTTTGAATGTAACTTTCCCTACTTTTCTTCCTCTTATGTTAATTTATGATGTGTTTATGCACTCATGCCCTGGAGAATGCTTTTCTACTTATTGATTTTCTTAAAATGTTATTTATTTTCATTATGTGGGTTTTTATAAGCGTGTTTATAAGCTGAAAATTTTATCTGTTTTTATCAATTTTTGTTTGCCGGTAGAAAGATTTTTATATTTAAAATAACTCTTCAGTTTACTGCCCCTATTCTGGATCTTCTTGCTTTTCCATTCTGTGTATTTGCCTGTAATTGACATGGAGTTATGTATTCCCTTGCTAGCTGGCCTTTGCAAAGAAAATCCTTGAAGGCAATCAACAAACTCAATTACCACATTTTCTTAGCTTGTAAGTCCTAATAAATCAATATCAGGCAAATATTCATATGTTAAAGGTTAAATATTTTAAGCCTTTTGACAGTAATTGAGTGTATTTTCAAGAGAGGTTTAATGTTGATAGAGATTCTTTCCGTTTCATTACCATTTGCCTCTGATAGTGAATATTTTAAGCTTACTGACTGACACTTCACATTTGACGCAAGTAATATACAGCAGTCAAATCTAGTTTAAAGGCCTCTAGCTGCAACTTTATTATGAAATACTTTTCCATAAGTAAAGTTAATGTTTACTCTGTGGCTTTCTATCCATGTTAGCAATATTCACACAATATTCATCAGAACTACAATTGCTGAGATCACATATTTCCCATCAGTCCAAGTTCCAAAAGAAGGATCAGACGTTCTTGATTAAGATGTCTCTATAGTAAATTTGAGAATAGCTGTTGATGTCATTAATATTTGTCTAAGCATGATGAATCCCTTTTAATTTTGAACTATGAAACAGCAATTGCTGTTTTTCCAAAAGGCTATATCTCCAAAGAAATTAGTACATTTAGAAAAACACCTGAATATCTAATATACACAGATGTCTTTGGAAATGGTGTTGTTGAGGGTTAGATGATTAAATATTTCAGCAAATTTACACCTATATTTCAAGTAGAAGTGGAATACCCTCTGAAAGACTTAAGGAATAGGCTTCTTTTATAACATAGACAAAATTATGCCTGAAGAGAGAAATATGTCAGCCAGAATACCTTTTCCTTTTCTATATTTTAACATCATGGACACAGGAAGATTAAGGACTATATATATTGGCGTTCAGAGCATTATGAAACTTCTGTTCAGTGAAAACTTATCTGGATAGATTGGAAAGGATCTTGTAAGGTTCAAGAAGGGCAAGTGCAGAGTCTTACACCCAGAGAGGAATGACTACATGTATCAGTACAGGTCAGGGGCTCACATGATTGGAAAGGAGATCTGCAGAGAAGGGCCTAGATGTCCTTGTGCATAACGGCTGATTGTAAGCCAGCAGTGGCCAAGAAGATCAATGTATTAAAAAGAGCATGACCAACAGATCAGGGGAGGTTATCTCTCTGCTTTGGCCTGGTGAGGTCATAGTTGGCACAGTATGTCTAGTCCTTGTCTCCTTCTTTGTCTCCTCTGTTCAGAAAAGACAGAACATTTCTAGAGAGTATCCAGTGGAGAACCACAAAAATGATTAGAGGCTTTGAGCATCTCCATTATGAAGAAAAGAGGTTCAGTCTGGAGAAAAGAAGACTGAGAGGGACATCTTAGCAATGCCTATAAATACGGAATGGACAAGAGTCAAACAGATGGGACCAGGTTCTTTAGAATGGTGCCCAGTGACAGGATAAGTAATAAATGGGCCAAAACTGGAATGCAGGAAGTTCCACTTGAACATAAGGAAGCCTTTACTGTAACAGTGACAGAGCTATGGAACAAGCTGACCAGATTTTTTTGGGGGAGTCTTCTTTGCTGGAGATATTCAAAAATCAGCCTGGATGCTTTCCTGTGCAGTGTAGTGTAGAAATCTGCTTTAGCACACTGCTGGATTATGTGATCTCTAGATTTCCCTTCCAATCCTTGTGATTCTGTGATTCTCTGAAGATATTTTTTCTTACCACAAATAACACTGATCAGTGTACACTGGGAATACTTACAAAGTTGTTTTTTTTCTGGTTCTGTACAGCCTGAAAGAAGCAGAAGTATGATGTAGCTTAATCACAGTTTAATGTTTGAGAAGATAAAGTGGGAGGATTACTTTCTGTTCACATATAAAGTGGGTGGACAAATCTCAAAACAACTGAAAAAAAAAAGAAAATGCTACCTTTGTCTATTTAAGGAGACTGTATTTTTGCCTTTTTATCTGCTAGTTTTTGGTTTTAGATCTACTGTGTTTTGTCTTAGAGATCTCAGAATGTATCTTTGACCTCTGTTTCTTTTCAGTGGATATATATATAGCTATCTGTATTTTTCCCAGTTCCTGACACTCTTCTTGATACTAAGTCTTTATTTCTGGAACTCCTGTAAACATTAACCCTTCAAGTAAACCATAATTCATGCTCAGATCTAGAAAAATGGATAAGGAAGAGTGGAGATGGGATTTCCATTGAAAAGCAATTACTAAGTTACCTGCAAATATTGTTTACTCATACCTCTGACTGCAAAACGTTGGTATTTTGAAGAATGGGTTAGGGAGAGTGATAGAAGGGAGTAACTATTTTGTGAGAAGGCATGTCACACAGAAACCAAATAGACAACACTTGAGTGAGAGGTCACCCCCAAGTGGTGACTACTTACTTGTAGTCAAGACTGGGTTCTTAGTATTTTTTTTATTATTTTACTGCATACTTATTATTCTAAGAAAAATAACTTGAAGTTTAGTAGTTATAATGTGAAATAAGTTTTGCCTTGCCTTCTAGTTAATTGTTTTAAACTGTTATTAGTTAAGCATTTTGAAACAGTGCTGTGTTCTTTCATTGGTGCTTTCATCCTGTTTGTGTACCTAATACTCAACATTTCTGATTATTGCTGGGTTGAAACAAAACCCAAATGATATTGGTATACCGGAATTCAGCTTCTTAATATCTGAAGTAATTTTAAGACCTGTCTGCCCTCATAGTTTCAGACTTCAAACTACCTTAACTCTTTATGAAGAGAAGCAGTCTGAATACTTAGCATTGCATATATAAATATATGTATATTTATGTATAACATATACACATATTTCCTTACATTTGTGCATACATAGCTGTATGAACAGGGGAGGAGAAGAAAAAGACATGAAAATGGAAGAATAAAACTCCTTAGCTTCTGAGCATTTATTTGTCCTGGATACATGATGATCTTGAAATGTGCACATTAGAGATTTTAGAATAGATATTACATGTGACTAACCCACTTGTGAATAAACTGAAAAATTTCAAATCGATCTGGTTAAACATTCATCCATACAAAATATAAGAGCTCTGAAACGGCATAATGAAACTCTGCACAAAACATACTTTTATTGCAACACTTAAACGACATAGATTTAAGAACACTAAAGTTAATTTTAATAGTCTGTCATCTGATTCTTATTTTTTGAGTCTGACTAGAAAAAAAAAAAAAGAGAGAGAATGTGATAGAATATTTTACAAAGCCTTGGAAACCCTTCATTTATGTTTTACATTCTACATTTTTATTTGAGTTGTTCCTTAAATTCCATTACAATTGGTAAGCCAATTCAAACCTAAGAAATATTTCAAGAATCACAGAGACGCATTTTGAAAAGATAATTAATGGCAAGAATACTAAAAAGTGATTTTAGACTTTCACATATAACATCAATTGTCTAATTACAATAATTAAAATTTTAAAAATCTCAGCTATAAAATTTGTAAGAAAATTTGATAGCATTTCCTGCATGAGAACAGCAACTTCCAGAAGTGCAGGTTTTTTTTTCCCCGACTAATTGATCCTTTCTGTTGTTTATCAAATACTGCAATGTTGATAAATATTAATTCTGACTGTTCCCCCCCAAAAAAAATAGTGTATGCATAAAAATATGGTACTTGACAAATGCCCTAACAATGATATCTAACATATTTTTTTTATTATTATTTTAGAACTCTATCCTGAGACACAACTACAGGATGTGCCTTGGAGAAGTGTAAGTTGTTTCTTTTATTGCTATGATAACTGTTGGACACTGTATCTTGTCTTGCAATTAAATGAATTCATTTTCCAAGATATTTTTTTAAATAATAAATCTCTATCACTGAGATCCCACAATGATTATTCAGGCTTCACTATGATAGTGGAGATTTGTCTGACATCACTGTTCAGAGTACATACATGTAACCATTAACAATTTTTTGTAAGTTAGTAGCAAATATTTAAGCATCTATATTTCATGGAATCATAGAAAGGCCTGGGTTGAAAAGGACCTTAAAGATCATCTAATTTCAACACCTATGTTGTATCCAAGTTTGCCAACCACTTAACCAAGCTGCCCAGAGCCACACCCAGCCTGGCCTTGAATGCCTCCAGGGATGGGGCATCCATAACCTCCTTGGGCAACCTCTTCCAGTACATCACCAATCTCTGAGTGAAAAACTTACTCCTGTGACTAATCTAAATCTCTGCTGTCTTACTTTAAGACCATCCCCCCTTGTCTTATCACTATCCACCCTTGTAAACAGCCATTGCCCCTCCAGTTTATGTGCTCCCTTTAAATATTCAAAGGCTACAATGAGGTCTGAAGCTACTCTTCTTTATGCTAAACAAGCCCAGTTCCCTCAACCTTTCTACATAGGAGATATGCTCCAGCCCTCTGATTTCTCATGACTTCCTAAAATCCTACAAGTGAGAATGCAACTAGGAAAACATCCTAGATATTTTTATTAAGAAGTAACTTTCCTCTTCAGATAATAACAATGGAATATGATCTTTCCTTACAAACAAACAGGGAAACAACAAAAGTTTGAGAAAATGCACCTCCCAGTGGCTGTTTATTGATGTGTATCTTCCACATCTGTATAATAATGAATGTAAAGATGTTATAATTAGGAAATATACATGAAAGTTAGGGTAAACAGGTTATCTCACCAAGGAAGAATGGATGGAAAGCTTACCCTTGTCCTGGGCTTCCTGAGAAGACTCCAAGAGGAGCAATCTCCAAAAGAGATTTTCCCAACTGGTAGTCAGCTCTTAAATGGATTCTAGGAGAGGTGGAGCCAGCTCCTCCCATTCTGGCAGATCAGGTGAATTGCCTTCACCTGTGCCCCCAGGGCTGACTCATTGCTTGCCTCAGGTGGTCAATCAGAGGTTCCGGCCATGATTCAGAAGTTCCCATAAAACGTGTAAAGATCATAAGCAAAATTACCAATTTTTTTTATCTTACCTGCTAACTAATGGCCATCCTCCTCTCTCCTTTTTTTTTATTTTTTTCCTTTTGTCTGAAATGTCACTTTTCTCTAAATTATGTAGGAAGACATTGTTTTGCTTGTTTTGCCCTTTTAATTGTAGAAAATGACATGAAACTAACAGACAATTTACATAACTCTGTCCAATAACAATGAATGATATTTAAAATTGAAATATTTTTCTTGTTCACATTTTGTATTATTCTCCTAACCAGGAAGAAATCCCAATAAAATTACCAATGGCTCAATGTCATAGAGGCAGTTATGTACATTTAATAACTGTTAACTGCTGGGAATAGACAAAAAGCAAAATCATTGGTGTGTCAAGTAATTTCTGTGTTGAAAAATTGTCATAACATCAACAGGAAAATACATGAATATTAATGCAATTTAAATATTTTCCAAGGAATATAATATCATATCACAATGCCAGGTGCTAATTTGTGCATTAAAAACAACTTAAAATATGCTCACTCAGGAAAAGTAAAGTTACAATAAGCCTTCAGCTGTAAAAGAAAACCTGTGTATGCTTGAAATTTTGCAGTTGAGGTTTGGTGTTATCAGTCTAGGACTTGAATTTTAGCTAAAAGACTAAACCCAGTCCCAAAACAAGTTCTCCAGCTAGAAGAATGAACTGTGTCTTACTGAACAAGAAAGGATACAATAGGTCAAATGTTGGTATAATAATAAAAGTAGATAATCTGCGCCTATTTTCTGTGAGAATTTTTTTTTTTTTTTTTTTTTCCCCCCCAAGCATAAAAGCAATTTCCTACAGCCACTGAAATAACTTGAGGCATATTTTCAGTTCTTTTCATTTACACAGTTCCATTCCATTCAACAGAATTGTATTAATTTTCACCATCTCACTTCTTGAACATAAATCTTTATTATCTCAATTAATGAGTTTCATTTTTTGCCTACCTTTGATGTGTTTTTTGAAAATACGCATTCCTTCCAGTCACGTTTTCTGGACAACTGAAGAGTCATTTGGCATAAACCCTTCAGCTTTGAGTTATGCTTCTTTCAGACTTACTGAGAAATTGGTATGTCACTTGCTTCACAACTGTCTTTTTGTTCTGAAGATATTTTTTACTATTCATAATTGTATCCTGATAATGCCTCAAGATATTTTCTATAGACAAGAGGAGATTAAGTTCAATTGGAAGGAAGAAAGCCAAGACGAAGAAAAGCAGTTTTATTACCTTTCAATTATAAAGTCAAAGACATGAGATCATTCATAAGTAAAGTCTGAACAAAAAAAAATTATAAGTCAGAAAGATAAATCTAGATAGAGAGATTTAAAAGAAAAAAAAAAAAGACTCTATGGATGAAGTTTACACTTAGGAAGTAAAAGACATTTCTGCCAGTGTAGAAATTAAAAAGAGTAGCAAACAGGAAAACATGAGTATTTTGATTCCTAAAACCAGTATTTTGATTCCAGTCATAGAAGCACAGAAGCATAGAATCATTCAAGTGGAAGAGACCTTTAAATGCCAGATAGTCTCAATCTCCTGCAATGAGCAGGAACATCTACAGCTAGGTCAGGTAGCTCAGAACTCTGTCCAGACTGACTTTGAATGTCTCCAGGGATGGGGCATTCACTGTCTCTTTGAGCAACCTGTTCAAGTGCATCATTACCCTTACTGTATTTTTTTTTTTCTTACATCCAGTCTATACTCTCTTTTAGATTGAAGGCCTTCCCACTTGTCCTATCACAGTAGACCGTGCTAAAGAGTCTCTTTCTTTCCTGTAGGCCCCCTTTAGATATTGAAAAGCTGCTGTCAGATCTCCCTGGATCTTTCTCCTCTCCTGGGCAAACAGTCCCAGCTCTATCAGTTTGTCTTCATGGAGAGTTGTTCCTTGTATCATTTTTGTGGCTATCCTCCAGAAGAGCTCCAACAAATCTATGTCTCTCCTGTACTGAGTACTCCACATCTGGTCACAGTTCTCTAGATGAGGACACTCCAAAGGAGAGTAGAGGAAAAGGATTACCTCTCCTCCTGCTGGCTGCACTTATCTGGATGCAGCCCAGGATGTGGTTGGCTTTCTGAATTGCAAGAGCACATTGCTGACTCATGTCCAGCTTCTCATCCACCAGTACTCCCAAGTCCCTTTCAACAGGGCTGTGCTCAATTCTTCCTTCTCTCAGCTTGTATTGATAATGGGATTTGCCGTGACAAAGGTGCAACATCTTTCATTTGGCTTTGTTGAATCTCATGAGGTTCTCCTGGTCCTACTGCTGAAGCCTGTTTAAGTCTCTCTGGATGGCATGCCATCCCTCAGGTCTGTCAACCACTCCAAATGGTTGGGGTGTCATCTGAAAACTTGCTGAGGGCATATTGGTGCAGTGGATACCACAGAAGGATGGGATAATAATGCATGGCAAATGAGGTGATGATAGTATCTTCTAATAGGATACAAGCACTACAGAGCAATAGCAAGTAACAAAGAAGAAAAATTGGCTCAACCCTTCCAAAAATCAGTGACATCTCAAGAGTACAACCTCTATCAGGAAAGATGCTACTCCCTTGTCTGCTAAACCTTAAATGAGAGTGGTGAGGGATGGATCCAGGCTCCACACTTTCAGATCATTCAGGTACAATCCTTACACCTGAGTTCCTTTGGGTTAGCCACACCTTCAGGTTGTGATCTGGCAATTTTGCTGCAGAAATTTGCTGCCATTCAGAAAAACCAGGGTAGGCTTGAAAAGCGGGCAGATGGGAAATTAATGAGGTGTAGTATGTCCAAGTACAAGGTATCACACTTGAATGGCAGCAATCCCATATATATGGACAGACTAGGAGAAGAGTTCACTGAGAGCAGTCATACAGAGAAGGACTTGGGTGTTTTGGTCCGTGAGAAGCTAAACAATGAGCAAGCAAATTGAGCTTGCAGCCTGGACGGCCACCAGGATCCTGGGCTGCTTCAAAAGAGAAATAGTTGGCAGGGTAAGGGAATCCTCCTCTATTTTGCCTTCATGCAGCCCCATCTGGAGTACTGTGTCCAGACCAGGGGTTCCCAGCACATGAAAGACATGGAGTTATTGAAGTGGTTCCAGTGAAGGGCCATGAAAGTAAACTTCTTTTATGAAGAGGAAATTGAGCTTGTTCAGCCTGGAGAAGAGAAAGCTCAAGAGAGAATCTCACTGTTGCCTTTCAGTACTTGAGGAGAGCTTATAAACAGGAGAGAGAACAATTTTTTTACACTGTCTGAGGAAAGATTTATGCTACGCATTAGGCTGAAGTTCTTTACTCAAAGGTGATGAAGTAGTTAAATGTTGCCCACAAAAGTTGTGGATGTACCATTAGTGGAGGCGTTCTAACCCAGGTTGGATAGGGTCCCACGTAGCCTTATATAGTGGTTGGCAATTCTGTAGGAGGGTAGGAACTGTCCTTTGACATGGTCCCATGACATATCCTTATCTCTAAATTGGAGAGATATAGATTTAAAGAGTGTATTATTCTGTGGATGAGAAATAGTTTGGAAGTTCACAGCTGGAGGGTTATGGTCAATGGCTCTGTGTTCAGGTGGAGACTAGTAATGAAGAGTATTCCCCAGGCATCCTACTTGGGACTAATAATCTTTAACATCTTTATCAGTGACCTAGATAATCATCATTCCCTGCATAGGAGTGAAGTTCACAGGTCAGTTGTTCCCTGGGTTGGTCTTTCTATCTTTCTTAAAAATGGGTGCAACACCTTTTTTACATTCATCAAAGATTTCTCCTCACCTCCGTGACTTCTCA